TGACAGAGAAGCAAGACAGTGGGGTGGAAGCTTCCATTATTGCCTCCAGCTGCATTTACTCCTGCAAGCCACTTCAAGTGGACTCTTGCAAACTCAAGTACGTAGGAGCAGGAGACAAGTCAGAACTTGATCCTACAGCAGTTATCCTCATGTATCTGAAAAGCTGTGATTGGGGAATGAGAGACCATTGTTGGTGAGGATGGGTGAGAGGTAAAGTCACAGCCAGTGGATACAGAAAAACAGATTTAGGTTTGTGGTCATCAAACCAGTCCAGCAATGGAATGGGCTGCCTTGTGAGGTGGGTAGTCTTGGGCAAGGAAGCTATTTCATGACTGCATGATGCTTGGTAAGGATCCTATAGATCAGCTCTACTCCAGATGTAGTCTGAACATTGACACCAGCCTATACATTGTTAATGGTCTGCAGCGAAGTAAATTCAGAAATTGAGAGCAAGCATTTATAAGGTTTTCTAGCAGCTTGATACAATAATTTTGTATTTGTTGAATCAAATAATAATAAAAATAACCCAAATAATTTGGGCATGTATATTACACATTCAATTTCATGCCTCAAATAACATATTGTTTATAAAATAATGAGCCAAGTGAGGTGGCTCATGCCTGTAATCCCAGAATTTTGGGAGGCTGAGGTGGGGGGATCACTTGACATCAGGAGTTTGAGACCAGCCTGGCCAACATGGTGAAACCATCCCCCCCACCATCTCTACTAAAAATACAAAAATTAGCTGGATTTGGTGGCAGGTGCCTGTAATCCCAGCGACTTGGGAGGCTGAAGCAGGAGAATCACTTGAACCTGGGAGGCAGAGGTTGCAGTGAGCTGAGATGGTGCCACTGCACTTCAGCCTGGCTGACAGAGCAAGACTCAATCTCCAAAAAATTAAGTAAATAAAATCAAAATAAATAAATAAAAGCATTGGTTTGTGCTTTACCATAGATAGTTTGAGAAACACCCATGCAGAGGGTTTTCTGGTACTGGGTAGAAAGTCTGGGCTGTCCCCATTTTAAGGCCCTTACCTAGTAAGACTGAATTGTAAACATTTTAATGAGTAAAGTATGCAAATTGCCTAGCACAGTTGCAGGCACATAATTGGTACTCAGTACAGTCTCTCTTATCCTAATAACATGATTGTTAAACCTTAAAGGTGAACCCTTGGTGCACAAAAATGAAAATAATGTATTTACATGGGAGGAAAGTTGGAAACTTTATCAATTGCAAAATCTTTGCATCTGCAACTTCCGATACACGCCTGCAAAAATACGCATGCATACATATCCCTGCTTATGCTTTCTCCACATTGCGGGCCTCTGAAAATAGCCTTTTCTTTTTTCTTTCCTTTTCTGCCACGGGTTTTGCCATTTATCTGTACAGCACGCATCAAATGGGATAAGGTCAACAGATCGCCACTTAGAGATATCCTAGGGTTTTTTTTTTTAACATTTCTATTTGAACTGAACTTTAGAGGCAAACATTGATATTTGAGCCCCCGTATGACAATGACTCATGAACGATCTGCAAACTGACCCCCAGTCCGGGACAAAACGGGAGCGTGAATAGCGATCTTGTTGGCCACTAGGTGGCGGCCTCAAACTCTCCTGGCTTTTACGGCAGGCGCTGCTGAAACACACTGGCTTCTATCAGTAGGACACACACAAAAGATCATCAGCGAGAAGTGAAAGACCGGCTGGAGCAAGTGAGAGTGAATTTTTTTCCCCCTGCTCAGGTGTGTGAGATATTGCATATGCAGGCAGTGAATTGGACACAGCTGACATCAAAATAAATGTATGTGCTGCATTTGGACAGATGAGACCCCAACCTGCCACGCTTTGCAGAGTGATGCTTTTTACATTTGGAGGGAGCCGTTCTCCACCATAAAGCTGGAAGGCGGCTGCGAGCCTATCCACTTTTGGCAGGTTTGTGGAGTCCAGATGTCCATCATGAAATGGGTTATTTAATGTATCTGTGGGCTGTTTGCAAAATGGGAATGCCTCCATTTTTGTAAACATCAAGTGGGCAAATGCCAAATGTGTTTGCCCTCAACAGCAACGTGTACATGAGTATTAAGTGCACATAAAGGGTTCTTTCTATTCAATTCAATGCAAATCAAACATTTGCATTTCAATTAATATCTACTTAATTCTATTTCCTACACAGAAGGAGCACTATTAGGTCACTCTGCCAGACTGTGGTGTCTCATGCACCTCTTCCCTATGGGGCAATTATCAGACTTATCTGTCTGTGTATCCCTTGACTGTGGCACAATTCTGACCTTACCTTCATCCTAACTCATCATCAAATCCAACTTAACCAAGAGTAACTGGGAAAAAAAAATAACCCTGGATTACGTAAAGTGCCTTCAATATGTGATTCTGGAGAAAATAATTCATTTTGGACAGAAACCAAAATATAAGCCTTGTCAGGCTTCCAACAAAATCCAATGCTTCACTCAAGGTCATCTCCATGACTTAACCTTTTATGAGTGTGAATGCATGTGCACGGATGTGTGAGCCTTACCTCTTTGAAAATGTTAAAACAATGGATTCATTCCCCAGGGGAAAAAAATGTATGTATGTGCATGTACTCAAAAGACTATAAAGAATTTTAGGGGGTCAGAGAAATTTTAGGTGTCTATGGATTAAGAACCTACATATGCTTTATGGGTTAAGAACCTGTGCTGTATCTTCTGTGTATGGTTCAAATTGCACTGAGAACTTCATTATTTTTTCTTTAAAAAAATTACTTGTAGAGACGTCTTGCCAGGTTGCCTAGGGCTGTTCTTTAACTTATGGGCTCCGTCCTCTTGCCTTGGCCTCCCAAAGTGCCAAGATTACAGCTACAAGCCACCACACCTGGTGAAAAATCTATTAAAATTAAAACAATGACAGACATCTAAATGCCCATCTTCTATTCTCATTCAACATGGCCAACAGGATTTCAGTAATCTCACTGATCTAATTTAGACCAAGTATTGTCGATGAAGGATACCTTCCATAAAGGTTCCGATGAAATGGACAAATAAATTGACTGTGTTCGACAGTTACATTGGAACAGAAGGGTAATTGTGATTAAATGCCACAAGTCAGCATGCAACCCTTCTGTAGTGCCCTTTGCACTCAAACCCTCGGCTATGTAGGAAATCACTCCTCAGGGGACTCAGAAGGATTATTTCAGACGTACTGTTCCTCTATGCCTGACAGTACTAACGTATTCTAAAATGAACGCCTCCCAGAGAGCCCAAGTCTGAGGAGACAGTGGGAACAGCATATGGAGACTGCACTGACTACTACAATCTCACTATTTAACATACTCTATTTATCTGTCTATCCCAGACGTACCAGTAGAAAACTAGCGCCTCACACGAGTTCCACCTGATCCGTATTTGTTGACCATTTTGGCCCGCCATCTCCCTCTTCTGAACCCACAGAAGGTACCATTTATACCACGTAGGAGATATTATAATTGCAGAGTGTGAATTACTGTTTTCCCAATTTCTTCTTACCGCATAGGGCCAGGAAGAGTCATTCCTCTTCTTGCCTTCTATACCCCAATTCCTGGTGGGAATAACACCAGGAACACCAAATTCCTGGTCTCAGTTTCATCTCAGTAACTAAGCCAATTTTGGATGAGGATAGATATTTATAAGANTGGCAGATGCGGTGGCTCATGACTGTAATTCCAGTACTTCGGGAGGCCAAGGCGAGATCACTTGGGGTCAGGAGTTTGAGACAAGCCTGTTCCAACATGGTGAAACCCCATCTCTACTCAAAATGCACAAAATTAGCCAGGTGTGGTGACGGGAGCCTATAATCCCAGCTATTTGTGAGGCTGAGGCATGAGAATCACTTGAACCCAGGAGGCGGAGGTTGCTGTGAGCCGAGATTGCACCACTGGACTCTAGCCTGGGCGACAGAGCAAGACTCTGTCAATAAATAATCAATCCATCAATAAGTAAATAAATAAATATTATAGGCCAGGTGTTGTGGCTCACGCCTGTAATCCCAACATTTTGGGAGGCTGAGGCAGGTGGATCACTTGAGGTCAGGAATTCGAGACCAGCCTGGCCAACATGGTGAAACCCCATCTCTACCAAAAATTAAAAAATTAGCCAGTGTTGTGGTGCATGCCTGTAGTCCCAGAATTGCTTGAACCCAGGAGGCAGAGGTTGCAGTGAGCTGAGATTGTGCCACTGCATTCTAGCCTAGGTGACAGAGTGAGACTGTCTCAAAAATAATAATGAAATAAAATAAACATAAAAATAAAAATTATAGTGGTCTAATATCTACCAATCTTGTGGGAGCTTTGACTCTGTCCTCTTTTTCCTCCCAGCCTAATTTTAATCTACCAAGTTGCTGCTGAGACATCATTCCCTCCGGGCAGCCTTCCTTGATTTACCTTCTCTGACTTAGTGCAGATCTCCCTCTATGTGCTCATGCCCCCTTGCCTCTGTAGCACAGTGCTATCATACCATGTTGTGGTTGTCTGTTTATAATTCTGTCCCTCCACCAGACTGTGACAGTTGAATCATACTGAATCTGGAAAGAGATTGTGTTTTATTTTCTCTGAAACCCTAGCACGTAACACAGTGCCTGTCACATAGTAGTTGCTTTTGTAGTCATTGTGAAATTCATGGATGAGAGCTTCTCATCGGGTTTTCTGCACTACAGTGTCAATCACTGCCAGCTCCTTCATCATATCGCCATCTTTCAGGGCCACATCTTCTCCCTGTTTTCCTGCCTCCCAGATGGAAGCCTGAAATGAATCAGCCTCTGCTAGTTACTCACCTGCCGGGGTTGACTGGATGAACTGCTTTCTCCTGAACCATTTCTGTACCTGTGATGTTTTCTCAATTCTCTCCCTCTGCCCAGATAAGCAAGTTTCCTTCTAATTCCATCATCCCCCCCTTCCCCATTCTACCAGTTCAAAATCTAATATGCTATTATTTATTTACCTATTTTTTGAGACAGAGTCTTGCTCTGCTGCCTGGCCGGAGTGCAATGGTGTGATCTTGGCTCACCGCAACCTCCACCTCCCAGG